ATTAGTATCAGTTCAGTTTCGTATTATATCGGTTTCAGTTATACCGATTAAGTCCGAATATCATGTCAGGTTCAGTAGAGCATCTTAACATAATTAATCAGTTAATTTATCAGTCTGAGCATAGTCAATAGTAATTGTTTATATTATTTTCAGTTTGATCAGGCATCAGCACTACCATTCAGTTTCAGCAGTTCAGGTGGGGACACAGACTAAGTACTACATTGTTTATAATTACGCTACCATGTTTGAGGTATGTATTATCAGTTCAGTATCCGCTCGGAATGGTCGCCGGTCCATTCTAGGTTCTAGTGTCCTTAATCTGCCCGCTAGAGTGTGCACATGGTGTCCGGTATTAGTTTTTGCCGGCAGATGTTCAATTATCAGTTACGAATCTTATGTCGTGAGATCAGACCGGTATCAGATATCAGTTTCAGTTTCAGTTTTAGTTCAGTTCAGTTATATATGCCAGAATCATGATATTGTTATTATATTCACTGTTTTACTTTAGTTTGAGTTTCTGCGGAGCACAATGCCTTAGTGCTCACGCCCCCACATATTTCATGTTTTTCAGGTCAGAGAGTCGGGGATGAGGAGTGAGCTGGTGGGCAGTTCAGGATATTTTGTGGATATGTATATATGTGTTTTGCCACGCTTTTATTCCGCTAAAACTTTCAGTAGTTTAAATTTAACCGTTTTTAGAAAAGTCAAGTTTTTCACGGTAGCACTCCGAATCAGTTTTCACAAAATAAATATTTTATTTATTTATTCAGAAAAGTTGCAAAAGATGCGTACTCTGATAGTATTAAAAAGTCGGGGTGTTACAGAGTACCGCAAGAAGCTAGCACGCAAGTACTCACGCCCGAGCTTACCGTGAGTACCACATGATGATGCAACGCACGCGGAGAGCCACGCTTGAACACGGGAGTCCGAGGAAATTGTTGTCAATCGAGCATAATCGGAGGTAATTCCCGTGTTATTATGGGCTTAGATTAGCATGTTCTTTAAGTTCAACTTTCAGTCCCAAGTTCATATGCGTGTCATATATTGATTTAGCCGTGCGTGTAGCCGTGTCAAGTCATGTCATGTTTTAATTCAAATCTTTCAAACAACCTTCGCATGTCTAGTCATTTTATGCGATATCTTGTTCAGTCAAATGGTTTTGTTCAAGTTATGTTCAGGGTTGCTCGGTGTTATGGCCAAGGGGCGTGGTTGCGCAAGTAGCGCACACCACAGGCCATACATGTGTAGCGAGTAGGTTAAGTTCAGCCCCTCGAGCAGTTCATGTTATTTCGTTCAGCAAATGTCATTTCATGTTCAGTATTAAGTTGATTGCCGAGAGAAAAGTCAGTTTGGTCGTAAAACGGCTTACCGCCGTTGGCGGCGCACGGTGCGCTCGCCGCGGCCAAGTCCAGCCTTTTGTGCAAAAAATTATGTTTTAAGTTATTTCAGCCTTTATGTTCACGTCATGTAAGTTTATGTCAGTTAATGATGGATGGTCGAGAGTAGTTGCCGGACGACCGACAAGGGTCGGTCGTGGCCGCGCTGCCCGCACGCAGCGGCAACAGCACGTCGGCAGTCAGTGATGAAGGATCGGGTGTTGCGTGTCCTCGACTTGTCTCGATCACGGCTTTGCCACGGCCTTGCTCTCGACGATAGGTGTGATCGATTCGGTTATTAGCCTAACTCTCTCACGATACTTGAGTTCATTTGGGTATTAGCCTCGCTCCCTCTTTCGAACTAGATCGGGTCTTAGCCTCTCTAACTCGTTGAACTGGCTTGGGTCTTAGCCTCACCAATTCGGTTACATGATCGAATTCTCACGAACCCTAACACACGGTTTGAACAAATGTTCCTTTTCTATTTCATCAATTCTGGTCCTCTAAAAACAATGAGGGAACATCCCTATTTATAGATCCTAATTACTACTAATTTTAATCTACCTAGGAAATATATTAAAGCAATAAAATATTAACTAACCTAAACAATCTAGATATTATTGTGCAAGTAGGAAACTAAATATACTAGAGTCCTAGATTGACTAGATCTTGATCTTGCTTGGGTTGCACTCCAAACAATTCCAATTCACACGCCCCATATTATTTTGGCCGCCTTAATCCTTTACGCGTCGCACATGCGTGCGCCGCCTTAGTACTCACACTCTTCGTCGGCCTAGGTCTCTTGCGCGCCCATCTCGCACGCGCGCCTACACGTGCGCTCAGTTCGCATCTGATCCCCTCGCGCGCGTGTGTGTCGTCACCTTTGCCTATGCCTACCGCGCTGTTGATATCATTTTCAGTAAACCAAGTTGAGTGACATTGATTAACCGATTAAGGTCAGTATGAGGATAATTAGAATTTATACAAGTACATGATACTTCCACCGACTTCAAGACGACTGCGTGAGGAGAGATTCAACAAGAACCGACATCTCCAATACTTAACCGATATCTCATGTCGGTCATCACATGTCGGTCACCACATGTCGGATACAACATATCGGTTATAACTGGATAAACCGATATCTATAATATACCATCTCAGCACTGTAAGGCGGTGACAACTCAGCATAAATCATCATTACGTCTGTCCAAGTGGCGAGCTATCAAGAGAAGTGGCTAGGAGCCGCCTTTGACCTTTCAAATGTAATGATTACTGTGCGGATAAATGTTGTACGTAAATATAAAAGAAAAAAAACAATTCTCCAGCGAGGGAGATACAGACAATAACAATATTCTCAGAAAAATTCCATCTGCTTTTCAATATCCATATTTCTGTTGATTTACCTTGAGTTTATTACAAATCCCTCTCAATAAGATCGTTGTTAATTTTTATTTGACAACAGTTTGGCGCTAGAGGAAGGGCGGGCCGCCTTTCTAAGTTAATTTTCGCCTTTAAGCCATTTTCGCGCTCGAAACTATCATGTCGCAGTCTGGTCGAGACCACGTGACTCACCCTGGCCAGAGCCAATCGACTAACCATTCCCCACGGCATGCAACACCACCTCCTCCGGTCACGAATGTCACGAACTTTCTTCAAAATCCGGAGTTTATCCAAGGTTTGACCTCACTAATAGCTCGAGCCATGCCCAGGAACTCGAATACAATGCCGTTAACTACTAACCCAACTGAGCATCCAACCCACACTCACCATGACCGTGAAACACATGTAGCGACATCACATGCTACGTCGCAGCCCCATCATACTTCTCCACGTCAAGAAGAGCAGGCTCATGTAATTGCTAATCCCGTAACGAACAATCAAGTCCCAGATCAACCCCCTGTGCAGGAGATGACTGCTGAAAGTCATTCTGCTCATCACCAGAGAACTTCGCCACGTCTTAGGCCCGTTTCGTCAGCACCTCATGTTCGCGAAGATTTGCGACGCCAGATTGAACGGAATCGCCTTTCAAGACATAGTGCGGAGGAAATTGAAACTCTCCGTAAACGTTTGGCTGAACTTGAAACGCGACAGAAGTCACAAGAAGATTTACCCCGACATGTCACGACGTCGGGAAATGTTATTGTCGAGGCGGATTCTCCTTTAGCCCCCGAACTTACTGCGGAGGCACTCCCTGTGAAAGTGAATATCCCGCAAATCGGCATGTATGACGGGACATCAGATCCAGATGCACACTTAGGCCATTATACGTCTTGGATGGATTTACATGGGGCTTCAGATGCTTTGAGGTGTCGGATGTTCTCACTTACACTGGGACCACGAGCCCAAAAATGGTATTATACTCTCCCACCTCATTCAATTTGGAAATGGCAGCAGTTACGTGCAGCTTTCCGGTCACACTTTATCGGTGCCCAAGTCTGCCTCATTCTGAAAGAGTCGATCACCAACATTGTGCAAAAGGACGACGAGACTGTTAAAGACTACGTGGCTCGGTTCAACGACCGAATTCAGAACATGGAGCCCTGTCATCCTGAAACTTTGTTAGTAACTTCTATTGCTGGACTGAAGCCTAACTCAATGTTTCATTGGACCTTGTGTAAAAATAAACCTGCTACATTTCAAGAGTTTCTCGTACGAGCTCAACAATTCATTATTGCCGAAGAATCCATGTCGGTTCCCAATTTCGACTTCTCGGTGAAGGAAAGCAAGGCTGAACCAGATGCTAAGAAGAAGAACAAGAAGAACTTTGGGAAAGCACAATTTCGGAACTCCTCTAAAGGATATGAAAATACTCCAGAGTCTCGAGCTGCTCGTGATCAGTATTCGGACAACGTCAGGACAGGTTATCACGCCGTTTATTCCGCCGGAGCAGCCACTATATATGAAGAACTGAAAGGAAAGGGAATTATCCCAGACCCGAGGCCTGTGAGAACTCCTGAAGACAAGTTGGATAAAACTTGGTACTGCGCA